AGAGAGAGAGAGAGAGAGAGAGAGAGAGAGAGAGAGAGAGAGAGACCAAGTATTTAGGAGTGCAGCTCCAGTGGCCTAACTTCTTACACTGTACCTCACCTCCCAAATGGTTTGCAGTCTCCCAGAGGTGCTGTAAGTTGCTGTCTTAGGCTTTTATAGATGGCCCCTTAACAGATGTTCAAGATCCCAAATACAGCAATGAGGGTACTAACAGGAGTGGGGCGGGGAAGGGGAGGAAGGTGATTGGAGGTGGGGAGGGCACAAGCTCAACATACAACATATACTTGTTTTGGGATTTTTTTTTTTTGTCTTTGGTCTTTGGTCTTTTTGAAACAGGGTCTCCCTGTAACCCCAGTTGACCTGCAACTCACTATGTAGACCAGGCTGGCCTTGAACTCACAGAGTTCCGCCTGCTCTGCCTCCCGAGTGCTGGGATTAAAGGCATGCACCACCACACCCGGCCTTCAGCATACAACATATACTTGTATGAAAATGCTCTTTTGTAAATGAGTACCATGTCTAATGAATATACAATCAAAAAAGTTTTTAAGTATAGCAATGAGTTAGACTTTAGCTGTGTGTGATTCCTCCACAGTCTCTCAACCCTTATATTAGAATTCTTTTTAATATAGTTTTATTAATTCTTTGAGAAGTTCAGACATTACACAATATATGTTGAGCATATTCACCTCTCATTCCTCCCATAACCCTCCCCCTCCCAGGCCTACCCTTTTACTCCCCCACTCACCCTCCCAACTTTTTTTTTTTTTTAATAACTCACTGAGGCCAATTTGTGCTGCACATACACTCATGGATATGTAGACATCCACTGGAGCCTGGCTGACCTACCAGGGGCACATCATTAAGGAAAACTGACTCTTCCTCTCCTAGTAGCAATGAACTGTCAGTACCTCCTCAGATAGGGTTGGGAGGCCCTCATCCCTTCTCCTTCCATGCTGGGATACTGACTAACGTGATTTTGTGCAGGTCTTGTGCAGGTAACCACAGCTGCTGTGAGTTGTTGAGTGCAGTGGTCCTGTCATGTCCAGAAGACACTTTTGCTTCAGTCCTCCCTGACCCCTGGCTCTTAGAATCTTTCTGCTTCCTATTCCATGATGTTCCCTGAGCAGGAGGGGACTGTGATATAGATGTCCTTTTATGGCTGAGTACCCCACAAACACTTATTCTCTGCACTTTGAACAATTGTGAGTTTTTCCATGAACCACACCATCCACTGCACAAAGAAGCTTCTCTGATAAGGACTGAGAGCTGCACTGATCTATAGGTAGAAAGATAAGAGGTTTAGAGGGCAGCTTGATGCTGTGTCCATTTAGTGAAATAGTAGTAGTAGGCTCACCCCTGAGGCTTATGAGCTCCCTAGCCATAGGTTCCTGGTCATATTTACAGTATCAGGCAAGTGTTTCTTCCTGTGATGTAGGCTCTAAGTCCAATGAGAAAGTGTTTTGGTTACCACTATAACATTGGTGCTACTAATGTACCCATGAACATATCTTGCCAGGCCATTTGTTATTATAACTCACAGGGTTTACAGCTGGGTAACAGTTGATGAGTTTTCCTCCCCCAGCAGCCTGCATAGCTCTTTATAGTCCTATGAAAGCTAGACAGCAGGGAAGAAACTTCATGGTCAGCACCAGCTTGATCTCTCCATGTCCTGTGACCAAAGTATGTGGCATCTTCAACAATAAGGTCTTACTGTCAACTTCTAATGAGTAATCAAGAGCAATGACAGTAGCTTATATTGTTTTAGGGGTCTCCAGGATATGCCTGACCAACAGAGAAAGGGAGGTAACACACACCTTGGCACTGGGCTTTTTATTTGGTAACATGTGGCTTCTGGGAGGAAAAAGCATTATCTCCTGTGTTGGGAAACTTATTAAACTCACATAAGTGTGAGAATGTGTATGTATATATTTAGGAAGCCTATAAAATCGCAGTTTCCATATGGCTTTTTCACACATCCTTGGCATTAGTCATCCTTCTTCCCACCCTTCTGTTCCCACTTAAACCTTGCACTCTATTGCATTTTCCCCTTCATATCACCTGTGTTCTCCTATCTCCCTTCCCTTAGTTCTTCTCCCCCGCAAAAAAAAAAAAAAAAAAAAAAAAAAAAAAAAAAAAAGCCTTTCTAGTTTCCTGACTTCTACGGGTATTCCAAACAAAACACACATATCTAAAGATGCAAAGCTAACATCCACATGAGAGAGAACATGTGATGTTTGTCTTTCTGGGTCTGGGTTACCTCACTCAGGATAATTGTTTCCATCTGCATCCATTTACCTATGGATTTTCTGATTTCATTTCATGTTTTATAATTTCATTTTAATAGCTGAATAGTATCCTGTTGTATAAAGGTACCACATTTTTATTGTTCATCAGTTGATGAACATCTAGACTGATTGCATTTCCTGGCTTTTCTGAATAGAGCATCAGTGATCATGGATGAGTAAGTACATCTGTAGTAAGATGTAGAGTCCTTTGGGTACATGCTCAAAAGTGGTATAACTGGATCTTGGGTAGATCTGCTTCTAGCTTTCTGGGGAACCTCCACACTGATTTCATAATGACTGCACCAGTTTACACACCCTTCAGCAGTGTTTCCCTTTCCCCACATCCTTGTCACATTTGTCATCATTTGTTTTCATGATCTTAGCCATTCTGCCTGGGGTAAGGTGGAATATCAAAGTAGTTTTGATTTGTATTTCCCTGGTGGCTAAGGATACTGAGCATTAAAATATATATATATATATATATTTCACAGCTATTTGCATTTTATCTCTTGAGAACTCTCTGCTTAGTTCCTTGCCCCAATTTTTAATGGGGGTTGTTTATTTTCTTTAGTTTTGTTCTTTGTATATTGTAGGCAGTAATCCCCTGTCAGATATATAACTGGCAAAGATATTTTTTCCCATTGTTCAGGCTGCCTCCAGTTTAACAGTTTCCTTTGTAGTATAGACACTTTTTAATTTCATGAGTTATTATTTGTTGACTGCTGATCCTATTTTCTGAAGCACTGGAGTCCTATTCAGGAAGTCCTTACCTGAGTCTGAAGTGTATCCTGAATTCTTTCCTCTAGAAGTTTTATTTTTTAAAATATTTATTTATTTTTATTTTATGTATATTGCGTGTATTGCCTGCATGTAAGTAAGTGCACTTGTGTCGTGCAATACCCGCGGAGGACAGAAGAGACTGTTGAATACCCTGGAACTGGAGTTACAGATAGTTGTTAGCTGCCATGTGGGTGCTGGGATTCGAACCCGGGCCTTCTGCAAGAACAGTCAATGTTCTTAAACTTTGTGCTATCTCTCCAGCCCCCTCTAGACGTTTTAAAGTTTCAGGTCTAACTTTGAGATTTTTTGGTCCATTTGGAATTGATTGTGTACAAAATGAGAGATAGAATCAAATGTTCATTTTTCTCTATGGAGATATCCAGTTTTCCTGGTACCTTTGTTAAAGATGCTATCTTTTCTCCAATGTGTATTTCTGGCATTTTTGTTAAAAATTAGGTGGCCGTAGGCAAATAGACTTGTATCTGGGTCCTTTATTCTAGTCTATTGATCAATGTGCCTGTACCATACTGTTTTTATTACTATAGCTCTGTAGTACTACTTGAAATCAGGAATGATAATACCTCTAGCAATGTTTTCAGGATTGTTTTGGCTATTCAGGGTCTTTTGTGCTTCTATATGAATTTTAAGGTTTTTTTTTCAATTTCTGTGAAGAATTGAGTGGAGTTCTAGTGGGGTTTGCATCCAACTTATAGATTGTTTTGGGTAGGATGGCCATTTTCACAACATTAATCCTACCAATCCATATGCATGAGAGGTCTCTCCATCTTCTTCAGATTTAGTGTTTTAAAGTTTTCATCTTACAGGTTTTTCACTTCCTTGTAGGTTTATTCCAAGGTACTTTTTAAAGCTATTTTAAATGGGATGATTTTTCTGATTTCTTTCTCAGTATGTTTATCTTTGGTATATAGAAAGGCTGCTACTGATTTGGGATGTTTTATAACCTGCTACTTTGCTGAAAGTGTTTATTAGTTCCAAGAGTTTCCTGTGCTATCTTTGGAGTCTCGCATGTATAGAATCATGTCATCTGCAAATAGGGATATTTTACTTCTTTTTGCTGTTTTTATCCAGTTTATTTCCTTCTCTTGTCTCACTACTGTAGCTGTGACTTCAAGAACTGCACCGAATAGGAATGGCAATAGTGCACACCCTTGTCCTTTTCCTGGTCTTTGTCGGAAGCCTTCAAGTTTTTCTCCATTTAGACATGATGGTAGCTATAGGTTTGTCATATATAGCCTTTTTAATGTTGAGATATGCTCCCTCCTTCCCTAGTCTCTCCAGGGTTTTTATCATGAAGAAATGTTGAATTTTGTCAGAGGCCTTTTCCTTTCCAATTGATTGTGATTTCTATCCCTGAGTCCATTTAATGTGATGAATTGTATTTATTGATTTATGTATGTTGGACATCCCTGAATCTTTGGAATTAAACCAACTTGATCATGATGCACAGTCTTTTAGATATATTCTTAAATTCACTTTGCAAGTATTTTACTGATAGTATTTGTATCTGTGTTCATTAGGGAAATTAGCTTATAATTCATTCTCTGTCTCTGTCTCTCACTCGTTCTCTTGCTCTCTCTTACAGTCTTTATATGGTTTTGATATCAGGGCAATAGTCTTTGTAAAAAGAGTCTGGAAGTGTTCCTTCCTGTTCTGTTTTATTGTTTTTGTTTATGTATATGTGCGTCTGTGGTCAGACAGAATACAGGATGTTATTCAGTTTTCCTATATTTGTTGAGACTTATTTTGAGTTCTAATACATGATCTATTTTAGAGAAGGTTCCATGGGCTGCTGAGAAAAATGTGTTTTTGTTAGTGTTTGGGTGGAATGTTCTGTAGATAACTGTCAGGTACATTTGATCTGTGATTTCAGTTAATTCCAGTGTTTATTTGTTTTCTTTACAGTTGATCTGTCCAATGTGGAAAGTAGGGTACTGAAGTCACCCATTATTACTGTCTTTGCATTAATCTGTGCTTTCAAATCTAGTAGTGTTTGCTTTATGAAACCGGATGAACCTGTGTTTTGTGTGTATGTGTTTAGAATTGTAGTTTCATGTTGGCAGATTATTCTCTTGATCACTATGAAGTGACCCTTTTTATCTCTTCTGAAGAAGGCCCTAGTTTCAATCCTTAGTACCACAAAAGCACAGAAAACAAGATGAATGGCTGGATGAATCAGAGGGGGTCCACTGTTAGGATAGGTTCTTGTGATTATGGAGACTGACAGACCACCTGATATATACTTTTTTTCAAGCTAGGAAAGTAGGGAAGCCACAAGCTGACCATCTGGTGATGTGTGGGGGTAGGGGGTGAGGGGGCTGTCTCAGTTCAAGTACTAAAGTCCAAAGGGCAGAAATTCTGTTGCTATAAAAACTTCATGAAACTGCTGTCACATGAGTGCATGGAATTTGGGGAAACCTAAGGCTGTATTCCCCGGCCCTGGTCACTCATATTTATTCGGCCTAAGGACAGGAGAATGTTGACCTTGTTTCAGAAGGGTGGGGGGGTATGCCTCTTCTTTGCCTTTTGTTGTGTTTGGGCCCTCAACTAATTCCTGTCTACACTGGTTGACAGTAGGCCTTCCTTACTTAGTCCACTGATTCAAATGGCAGTCTCATTTAGAAACACTTATGGGCATTACTTATAAATTACACTTTGCCAGCTACTGGGGTATCCTTTAATCTGGTCAAGTTGACACCTAAAATAAATCATCCCACCCACCCCCCATTTACCTCTGAATTGGTTGTCAGTGGTTACTTCTCTCGATAACAAAAAACATGGTAAGAGATCATTTGTTCTGGAGCCAGATATGAGTGACTGACCCAGGAATACAGACTTAGTTTTTCCCAAATCCCATGTTCTGATGTGACAGCAGTTGCATGAAGTTTTTATAGTGACAGGACAAAAGAAGTTATAAATCAACACACTTCATATTCATTTATGGGTACACAGGGCAGGTAGGTTACAGCAAAGCAGCAAAATCTCTGTGATAGGCCCTAAATGCTACCTGATGACCATCTTAGTTGGGGGCTGGTGAAAGCTAGGGGTCTGTGCATACTTTTCAGAGTGTTTACCTAATGAATAGTCACAAGGATGTTAGGTCACATGCAGAGGAGGGCAGTAAATAGCTATTAAATGGACTAAAGATGCCCCAAGATAATTTGCCTCTCATTCTGCAACATTCCAAGGTCTCTACATCATTGACATTCTAATCAGTCAGCCTTTGCAGATATGGCCTCTTTCCAGGAACTTTCAGAAACTCCCTTTAGTTAATTACAGATTACAAAGTTATTTCCTTTATTGGAGAAGCTGAAGTAGAATCGCTCCATTTTCATGTTTCATCACTAACTTTTTCCTCTAGGGCATGGTGTTCTGGATTGTGCCAGTGTTAGTCACTCATAGAGACTTTGCTCCTCAGAGGACATTTACCAGTGTCTGTTGACACTTGGTTGTTGCAATAGGGAGGAGTGCACTGTTGCATCTACTGTTCTAAGTTATCTGCTATGATATTGTTGTCAGAGATTGCTCAAACTACCTGAGTATGTCTATTACTCAGGCAGAGCCTGTTTTTCAAATAAATATTTTATAAATTAATAGACGTGATATATTCAAGAATGGAAATTTAAGAGATAGCCTTAATGTCTCTGAAAAGCTAAGAGTGTATAAAGTTGGAAAAATGATTTAGTTCCTGGGAAATTCAAACCATTGCTGTGAAACTCCCAAGTGAATGTAATTGAATCTGTTATGTTAACTAAGAGACATACTAACTAAAAATTTATTTTTTAAAAAAACACTTTGTTAAGGAAGGTTTGAAATGAGAGGTTCTATTTCATATTTCCCCTTTGGATAAGGGGGAAGTGTGTGTGCGTGTGTGTGTGTGTGTGTGTGTGTGTGTGTGTGTGTGTGTGTGTGTGTATCCAGCATACGCTTGTAGTTCTGTGTACCAGAATTTCAGAAAAAGGGAATAAACTTAGATCAGTAACCTTCTTTTATGCTTTATAATAGTGTCCAACTTGAAAGGATGGTGTTTGTACTTTGACTTGAGGGAATATAGAAACTTTAAGTCATGTTAAAAAGGAGATTGCTGTAAAGTTTATTTTGTTGGACTTTTCCACACTAATGTTCTTGTGGAGCTTGTCTACCAGGTCAAATCTGACTAGAATGCATAAGCTATTTAACTGTTTATAATTCTTATCAGTATTTGCTTTTTTCTTTTATTACATATGGGTTTTTTTTGTTTTTTTGTTTGTTTGTTTGTTTGTTTAGAATTGATGAACATTTTAAAACAAGTCCCAAAATCCCAGGAATTGACCTGAACTCAACTAGGGTTTTATTTGAGAAGTTAATGAACTCTCAGCACTCCATGATTCTAGAGCAGGTATGTTATCTGCTTTTTAAAAAATGCATTTTTGCATTGAAGAGTTCAGCTTTTAAGAGAAAAGGAAAAGAATCTTAATTTTATAAAAATATTTTGCTTTCCCTTTGGCTTAAATCTTCCTAAAGAATTTCCCCTCCTGAATATCAGGTCTGTATGGGTGGGAAACTTTGTCCTTCCTTCTTCCCATGTGTTTTGGGAGCCTGAACCAGTGCCTGGTTCATGGTAGGTGTTGAGTGCATACTGAATGAACAAGACTTGTGAATCTATCACAGAGCTTCTGATTTCAATGAATTAACTAGGTCTCAGATATGTTTTAACTCCTCATTACTTTTTTCTCTCTTAACAGATTTTAAACAGCTTTGAAAGTTGCCTCATTCCCCAGTTGTCAAGTTCACCACCAGATGTTGAAGCAATGAGAATCTATTTAATACTACCTGAGTTTCCCTTGCTCCAGGATTCTAAGTATTACATAACGTTGACTATTCCTTTGGCAATGGCCATTCTGCGGCTGGATACAAACCCTAGCAAAGTATTAGGTGAATTACCAAACTCAACACCACTGGTTTTGTACTTACTTATTTTGTTTTATCTTCTGGTTCTTTGTGTGGAGATCTAATGATCTATTTGTTGCCATTAATAACTTTACCATTTACATCTTTTTTTGCTGTTAATTTCTAGCTAACCCTGTTTGCAATTTGGGCACATTGAACTGTTGTTTAGCTTACTTGGAATGAATCATGACAGATTAATCCAAGTTTTGAAATACTCATGAATTTAAACTATTCAGCTTTGAACTACTTTTCCTCTCACACCTGCCCACAGCTAGTAGTGCCTCCAAAGTTCCTATCCATCTGTCTGTGCTTCTCCAGTGCACCTTGGGGGTGGGAGCGAATAAACAGCTTTGGTGATACAGACCCTAAGAAAGGAGAGGCAGAAAGTGACCTAGTGAGGACTTACCAAATGTTTGTTTTGTTTTTCTTTTTTAGGACAGTTGAGTCCACACTGATTTTTGCAGGCTCCGGACACTTTGCTGAAATAAGAACCTTCCGTTCCTCAGTGAACTGGAGAAGGTCTCTCCTGGAGTAGCGTCTGAGATGTTTTTAGTAATCCAGTGCAGAAATCTGTCACCTGGCATTTTACTTTTTTTTTCCTCCCCTGGTAATTTTTTTAGGTGTTTGTTGCAACTTGGTAACTTCTGTGTTTTGGTGGCCCAAGTGTCACTGGAGTATGGTTCCCTTGGAGCGAACAGTGCTTGTCTGTTTTTTCCGTTGCTTCCACCTTCGCACAGAGATAAAACCAGGAATAATAATGAAAGCATTAGTAATATGTTAGTACTTATGCTTTTCAAGATCAAAGCTTCTCACAGCACATTTTTCTCAGATGTTCCTATTAGTTATGAAACAGAGTGATAGCAGTTTTTAAAGAAATATTATCAGACTTTTTAAGCTTCAATATTTTAAGTTAAAAAAATTTATGCCAGATAACACAAAACAGATCAGAATTGTTCAGTTTTATATCTAATTTATTTCTAATTCTGGGATTTAAAGTTGATATGACCTCTCACAGTGGGGAGCACCTGCAGGTGTCTGGCATGTATCCAACAGGACCCATTCTTGTTCATTATTTGATTCTTCCCCCACTTTAATATTTGATGGAATATTTTAAATAAGGAAATCTCAAGTTTAATATTATTACACTGTTTAAGTATTTCAGTATGGCTGAGTTAATTTCTGAAGAAGCCAATGGTATAGTCCTGTCTGGTTATGAGAAGTCATGGTTTGGAGGGAGTATAAGCAATAAGTTTTGTTTTTCATAAACTATGCCTTGTGACAAGAAGGAATGGTTTTCATGGTGTCACTCTCTAGGCTGAGGTCCTTTGCAGCCTAGTATTTCAGTAGTGGCTGAGAACAGAGCTGACAGGATGAGGGCACGGGACTACTGTGGGGGTTGGTACAGTGGAGACTCCTCCCTAGAATATGTGCGTCTGATCTCCATGAAGCCTTGGAATTGAACTTTCAGATTAGCCTTCAGCATGAGTCTGAGAAAAACCAGATCAAGTGACATACATAGACACAGATACAGACACATAGACACAGACATACATACACACACAGACACAGAAATATATGTTTTTTTAATCAGTTTTGAGAAGCTGTAATTTAGACTAATATTTGCCTTCTAGCCATAGGAATTTTAGCTAGCAGGAAGAAGATATGAAATATTTGCTGAAGATTATATGTTGAAACATGGTCTTTCTTTCTTTCTTTCTTTCTTAAGATAACTGGTGGTCTCAGATATGCCCAAAATATTTCATGAAGCTGGTAAACCTCTATAAAAGTGCAGTCCTTTATCTACTAAGGGGACGGAAGACATTCTTAATCCCTGTACTATTTAACAATTACATTACGGCAGCTCTCAAGCTCCTGGAGAAGTTATATAAGGTGAGCAGAGCAGTAGCAAGGGGGAGGGGGTAGATGGCAGGATAAAGTGCCTTACCAGAATTTTCTCCGGGAACCTGTTTCTCTGTTTGGTTTTAGTTCTTATTTTGTTCTTCTTCAGGTAAATCTTAAAGTGAAGCATGTGGAATATGATTCATTTTATATTCCTGAGATTTCTAATCTTGTGGATATTCAGGAAGACTACCTCATGTGGTTTTTGCATCAAGCAGGGATGGTAAGAACTCATATAAAACATATCTTAAAGTGTTAGCCTTTTTTTATAAAAGCACACCTGAGCTATATACTGTGTCTTTGACTTTAATGCTAATGTCACACCTGTCTTTCACCTGGTTGAGTTTTGCATTCTTAAACTTGAAGGTGCCTTAGGTAATCATAAATGTCATAAGAATTCATAAAGAATCTGTGGCTGGAGCTATAACTTAGTGTTGAAGTGTGTGCTTACCATGTTTAGAGCCCTGAGTATAACCCCCAGCACCACATTTAAAAAAAGAGAAATCAAAGTATCTAAAGAACCAATTTCATTAAAACAGAAGGTGGAATGTTCTTGCCAGGGGGTGTCTGGAGGCATTGGGAAATGGGAGTTATTTAATGAGTATTAAGTTTATTAATTTCTAGTCTGGCAAGATGAGAAAGTCTTGGAGTTCTGTTGTACAACAGTGTGAATAGTTGTGTTTTTTTTTAACTTTTTGAAAAAAATTTTATTTATTATTTTTATTTTATGTGTATATGTGTATTACCTGCATGTAGGTTAGTGCACCCATGTTGTGCAGTGCCCTCGGAGGTCAGAAGAGGCTGTTGGATCCCCTGGAACTGGAGTTATGGACAGTTGTTAGCTGCCATGTGGGTGCTGGGACTTGAACCCAGGTCTTCTACAAGACCAACCAGTGTTCTTAACCGCTGAGCCATCTTTCCAGCCCCAGTTTTGGGGTTTTTGTTGTTTTTGTTTTATTTTGTTGAGATAAGCCCAAAGGTGTCCTTGAACTTTTGATCATCTGCCTCCCCACCTCTGGAGTTACAAGTATGTGCCATCACACCCAGTTTTTAGGGATTACTGGAGACCAAATTTAGGACTTTACTACCTGAGCTACGTCCCTAGTCCATGTATCCATACATTTAAAAATAGAATAGATGATAAATTTTGTTATGTACTTACTATTTTAGCACAATCTAAAAATCAAGACATCAAAGTATGAATTTTCAGCTTTTCTTGGAACTTGCCAACATTCAGCATAACTGCTTTCTCAGATGTGACAGCAGGCTGGAGTTCAGTGCAGCTTCTTACATGAGGCTCTCTGTGTGCCACCATCCCCACTGATGTATTCCCGACATGGACACTATTTGCTATTATCATTTTCTGACAGATAGCCTTCTTCACTCTTTTTATGTAAGCTGCCTAGACCCTGGGAGCCACATCTTACTGAGGATGATTTGTGTGCAGATGTCATACATTCCTGACCCAGCATTGGTGATATGTTAGACATAGCACTCAAGGGATTGTGGATTCCTACCTGCAAACCCAGGCGTGGGAGGAACTGTTCGATGCTGGCAGACTGCCTGGGCTATATTCAAAGCTTTTAGGGTCTCCCATCTGCCACATGTGAAAATTTGAGTCATAAGAGAATATAGAATGATCATTCGGCATTTGTATTTAGTGAAGCTATGTGTCACAGTGTCGTGTGACACTATTCCTGGGGAGACATGAATAAACATCTACTCAATGGCAGACAGGGACTCAATGACAGACCAAAGTAAGGATGCCACCAAAGTCCAGCTTGCTGAACTAATGAGTTTTATTGGGGTTACTTACAGGGGTATAGGTGAAGGGTTACTTCCAGGAGTATAGCTGAAGATTACTTACAGGGGTATAGGTGAAGGGTTACTTCCAGGAGTATAGGTGAAGGGTTACTTACAGGAGTATAGGTGAAGGTTACTTACAGGAGTATAGGTGAAGGTTACTTATAGGAGTATAGGTGAAGGGTTACTTATAGGAGTATAGGTGAAGGTTACTTACAGGAGTATACATGAAAGGTTACTTACAGGAGCAGAAATGGTTCAGAGACAGTTGTATCACCAAATCCCACCCCTGCATGGGTGATTGCTCATGAAAACAGGAAATCTGGACCTTACTGCATGACCTGCAGGCGGCAAAACAGGTTGGAGTATGGGCTGTTAAGATTCCCTGCAGGGTGGAATGTTTCATCTCTCAAAACATCCTGTTTGATGGAAAGTTTTTTTTCTTGGAGGACATTGCTGGAGAATACTCCAGCCCTTCCTCTGGTCCTTACATTCTTTTGGTCCCTACTTCCTGTCCCTACTTCTACAGTGGTCCCTGAACCTTGAAAATCATGATATAGATGTCTGTCTAAAGCTGAACATTAAGTTACTGTGCTACAGCAATGGTCACTTGTTTTTAGGACTTTTACTGGTGATTATGAGTCTCTGAGTTACACCATCATTTGAAAAAGAAGTTTCTTCTTGTATTGATTACTTTTCTGTTGCTATAAGACATCATGATCAAGGCAGAAGAGTTTATTTGGCTTATGGTTCCACAGGGGTAAGAGTCCATGATGGCAGAGAGGTGTGGTGGCAGCTGGAGCAGAAAGCCAAGCACTCAGGTCTTTAAGCAGGCACAGGAAGCTTATACTCCCTCCAAACCATGCCTTCTCATAACCAGACAGGACTATACCACTGGCTTCTTCAGAAATAAACTCAGCCATATGGAAATACTTAAACAGTAAAATAATATTAAACTTGAGATTTTCTTAAAATATTCCATCAGAAATTAAAGTGGGGGAAGAATCAAATAGAAAGAACAAGATATGGACCCTGCTGGATCCATGCAGCAGACACCTGTAGTAGCCCCAGTTGGCCCAGAACTTGCTCTGTACATCAGACTGACCTTCATCTCACAGAGATCTGCCTGTCTCTGCCTTTCAAGAGCTGAGATTAACAACATGCACCACCACACCCAGCCTCAGTGATGATTTTTCACTAAGCAGCTCTTAAGTACCTACACATAGGTACGTTGACTAGTCACTGGGATGGGATGTGGCCTTCTGTGCTGTCTGTCTTGGTATTTATTTAGTTTAGTGTAGACTATTAGAGAGAAGAAGTTAAAAAGGATGTTGGCACGTACATAGCCAGGGAAGGTCTGACGTGGCTGGTTTTGCTCATTTTAAGAAGAAGTGATAGTGGTTTGTTTTATTTGTTAATAACCTGCCATCATCATCGAAAACTAAATAGTATGTAGAGTGAATGTCTTTGTAGGCTCCCTAGAGGGCAGCACAAGCAAGGAATTCAGGGACAAATATAAATCCTTCAGAAATTAAAAAAAAAAAAAAAAAAGAAAACAAAAAAACAGAGAAAGCTCAACATCTTGTTGGTGAGTCACAGAAGTTGCAGACTATGGGGAATGTTTGGCTCCAGGCACCAGTACTGGGCACACTGAAAGGTGGCTGGACCTCTGCAGTGTTGTGTGTAAATGCTCCCTGCCCCAGACATAGCCAGATTTAGGAAGTGCTGATTTGTTATTAGCAAAAACGTATTTTTAGTTCTTCAGTTGTGAACCGTGTAGTTATTTGTTGCTTCTGTTTCATATACTTTGAGGAATGAATGTAGGCCATTGTGCAACTCTGTTTCAGGCAGGGACCTTGAAGTATGGTTCAATGTTACTCTGGTAGTTTTAAGTTTGTAAGACTCATTTCTTGGGAAATGGGTAGCCCAGGATAAGCAGCCTCATAAGAGGCGACCTCTTACCTTTTCAGTGTGTCTGCCCTTTTCTAGTTAGAGATAGCAATAGTGGCACAAAAATGATTCCATTATTTTACATAACCAGAAATGCCAATATTAACACAATTTCTAAAATACCCAGCATTCATAAAATAAACCAGTAAAATTATATTACAAATATAAAACCTCAAACTTATAAAAATGTGTGGCCGTGTCACAGACCTTCATCTAGATGGGCATCTTTTTAACTGAATAGCTTCCCTTCTTTGCCTTCTTTAGTGGTTCTCTCAGCCTTTAGCATCTTCCTGACTGCCGTGGTGGCCCCCTGGAGCTGCAGGCAGATGAGTGAAGCATTTTTGCCTGTACACTGAGGCAGTTGGGATTTCTTTCCAGCACATCTAGCCAAGAGTGGTGCCCCTCCCTCTACTTAGCTCTTCCTTTCCACTAGCAGAGGTCAGCTGTCCTTTCAAACTGAGTCCTTTCTCTTTGGAATGTTGGGAAGGGTTAGGTGAGTGGCAGTGGCAGGGACTAGAAGCTGCAGAATGTGGGTTTACTGAAAAATAGCAGGCAGGGCTGTGGTAGGGATGGCAGGGAGAAGATGGCGAGGGTCAGAGGACAGGAGAGGGCCTAGAAAGAGCCAAGATGCACAGACAAAGCTCCTGCTCATAGCCGTATTACTCTACCAGCAGTTCTGGTACTTAAAATGGATGGCATCCTAGAACTTCATAATGCCCCAACTGTTTTTGTAGTCTTTGTTATTGATTGATTGATTGATTGATTGATTGATTTTCGAGGTATGGTTTCACTGGTTTTGAAGTTGCTATGTAGACAAGGCAGCCTCAAACTTGTACAATTTTCCTTCCTCTGACTCTCTTCAGGCATGTTTCACACCAGCTTCCTCACTTATTTCCAAGGCTTGTAGGTGCTATGGCACTGCTTTTGCAAGCAAAGCCTTATGAAGCAGTCAGCCAGCTGATTGGTGCTTTCTTTTTCCTGTTCACTTTGTCTTGGAAGGGAGAGGAAAGGAGAGAAGCTACCCATTGACTGGGGAAAGGAGAAATTTTAGGGTTCTTTTGTGCAGGTGAAAACAGTCATCATGCCTCTTCAAGTTGAGTATTACTTTCCCAGGGAGAGGTGGGAGAGATATAATCATGTCTGCATGAGGACTTTTGAGCTTCACATCAGTTGTCACTGACCCGATGAAGATGGCTGCTTCTGTGCATATCCAGTCTCAAAAGGCTTATTTCATTTATTTTGATTTGAGACAGGCTCTTTCTATAGTCCCAACTGCCCTAGAACTCACTGTGTAGACCAGGCTGGCCTCCATCTTATGGAGATCTGACTACCTCTGCCTCCCAAATGCTGGGACTAAAGGTGCACTGTGCCACTTTGCCTGGCTATTTCAACCTGTCTGTGAGTGAATTCTGGTAAACAAGCACTAGATTAGTTTATTTTCTCGTTTTGATCAAATACCTGGCTGGAGGCACCTTAAGAAGGAAGAGAAGTTTACTTTAGCCTTCACAGATAGGCCTAGAGGTATATCTTTTAGGTCATTCTAGAGCCTCTGTAGTTGACAATCACTATTCACCATCACAAGCACTTTGATACTTAAGGACTTTAAGAACACTTTCCCAAGATGCTCATAGCTTTTGTAGATGCCTGGAGAAGACCACTTTACATAGTGCTGTGCTGTAGTGAGGCTGTAGTTGTTTGTAAGCAATTTCAATGACAAGTTCAAAGTAATTTGATACATCAGCATGAGAGTCAGATTTGTCTCATTTTGTGTGTACAACTCCTTACTTGGTCATGTTATACTGGAGCTTTCTCCCTAATGTTTCTCAATGTAGGGAAATGGCCCAAGATCCCTAAAGGAATCTGTTAAGGTTCAGATAGCTGCCTCACCCTCAGCAACAGGGTCTCATGGACTTCTCAAGCTCCTGAGAAAAGGGAACCTAGCTGATAAGCACCCTGGTCTTTGAAGTCAAGAAAAGCAGACTTTTCTCCACTGTTTGGCCAACACAGCAGGCTCCCCTTTTGATCTTTAAAGAGAGCAGGTTTTAACAGTCCCACTCTCCCACTCCCCCCCAACTTTAAAAATAATATATCTTCCCGTTGTCTTCAGGAAGCAGAAGCCTCCCCCTTTAAAAGACCCCAGCTCACAACCCAGGGCAGACATTTTCCCTGTCCGGAAGGGAATCTGTCCCATGTGTTCCTTTGCTAATAAACTCTATTCCAATGGAGTTTTATCTGTGTCCTGGTGCTTTCTCCTGATCAACCAGATTCATCCATAGGCTACTTTTTATCTATCAGAATCTAGTTGTAAAAATAATTCAATAGGATGAATTTTAATTATTATTGCCTTTATATTTCGTTTAAATATGCATAACCATAAAAATATAATTCCTATTAATATTGTATATATAAAACCAAATTAATTTAATTTTCACATTAAATAACAAGAAGATGCTCAAGTCAGTCAAATGCCTAATGGCCTTACTGACTCAGTGTGGTGAGCTGGTGTGTCCTCTGGAAACTAGCATCCTGGTGTTGTGGATAAGGACTGCCATTGCCAAGCCTGGGCTCCATTTCAGAGGACTCGGCTTCCTTTTTTCCTTTGCTCTTAAATCTTATTCATGCAGCAAGCTAGGGATACATTGGCATTTTCCTTGGTAAATGCAGCATTTATTAGGAAGAATGCTTCTTTTCTTTTCTCATTCTTCTTGCACAATTAAGTATTTACAAGCCACTGGTACAGTCATTAACAGATAAGTATAAATAGTGTGATAACTTACTGTTAAGAGGCCATCATTCAGAGTGTGTATTCTGTTTAGGAAATCACTGGAAAAAATCAAAGCATTCTAGGAGTCTATTAAAAAGCAAAAACAACAGCAAAATGCATTCAGCTGTCGAGAATAAATTTATTCATGGTTTTCTATTTAACACGTGTTATAGATCAAGACAATTTGTATTGTTGATTTTTTTCTGTTTCTAGTAAGTTAATATTTATTATATAACTATCATGAATAGGGTATGCTAGAAACATAGACATGTTTGTGTCTTTCCACAGTGTCAACTTATTAACACTAAATGCACAATGTATTAACTTTCCATGTTGCTGTGATGAAATTCTCGAGAAAAGCAACTGAGTTCATAAGGCAGTGGGAATAGCTGGATCCTCGGCGCCAACCACGAAGCAGAAAATGGAATCTGTAGCTCAGCTGGCTTTCTCCTTTTTGAGACAGGGTCTCATGTAGCCCAGGCTAGCCTCAAACTCACTAGGTAGCTGAGGTTGACCTTGAACTCCTGATAACCCTGCTTCCACCTCTGAATGCTAGGATTACAAGCATGTATCACCATGCCTAGTTTATGCAGTGCTGAGAATCAGACTCGAGGCTTTGTGAATGCTAGGCAAGCACTCTACCAACTGATCTACACCCGTGATGTCACAGCCCATGGGATGGTGCCACCCACATTCAGGGTGGGTCTTTTTCCATTTAACACTCTTACCAGTATATTCAAAGGTGTATTTGTTAGGAGATTCTAAATTGATTGTGAATGCTGACTGTCACAAATATATAAAATATCCCCAAATCCAGTCTCAACTACTAATATTCCCTGTGAGATCATACATTATACTGCATTCAGTATACATGCAGGTTGTATAATTACTGCAAAAGAGTCTAAGAGGCCCCAGAGTTCAGAGACCTTACTGGAGGCAGAAATGGAGAACTGTAGTGCAGGTGGTTACTTATTACTGTACTCAGTTGGATTGCTGCAGGAGGCCATCAGAACTGAACAACAGGGTCAGCGTGAGCCATAGAGCTGAGCCAAGCTGCAGGGTTGTAGGATCATCAAGGTGAGGTGCAGCACCTGGGCTGGTGGATAGGGGAATAGACAAATGAACAAATGGGTGGATGGATAGAGAGCAATTCAAATGGGCAACACCGAGCCACAAGGGACTGAGCTGAGCTGAAGCCCCAGGGACAGCTGGGGGTTTTCTCTCTGCCAGCCCCTTGACGTGCTCATGGCGTGGTCAGATAACAGATGAGCAGGATCATGCCATTGTGGTGTTAGATGTCTTTTTATGGGGTTCAGGTGAGTGTGTTGCTTTTTTTGTTTGTCTGTAGTGCTTTGTTAAGTTCTTGGGCCTGGTTTTCCTATATGGTTTAGTGCAACCATCTGATTATATTCCCGGTCAGCTTTGATCAGTTCTTAGGTATCACCTTCACTTACATAAGTTGTAGATCACCTCATGGTCATTGCTGGACATGTCTACATGAGATGCACAGTGACTCTGCGTGCATTTACACTCAGAGTGGAGCCACCTGTCCCTTTGTAAAATGGAGTCATCTGTAGCAAACCGTAGCCTAAAAGCAAATTTCTCAAAATAATGGAGCAATTCTGGGCCTCACACAGCCTGAACTCCATGATAAGTTTTTTCATAAGTTTTCCTCATTTTCCTAACATTAGAAACTAACATACCTGCCTTGTGTGCTTTGTTATGGTTTAATTTGTTGACCATAATTCTTCTCAAAATTAGATACACAGAATCATTTCCAAATTGATAGAGCATTGTCCATAGGCAAAGTACTGATCTAAGTGCAAAGCAGGAACACCTTACTATTTAGTTTCTTGTAAGTGTATGTGTGGGAGATACAGCATGCCAGCAAATAAAACGTAGCTTACATTCCAGGCTGAGTCTCCCTAATTTGAAATCCAAGTGCTATCTGTCCTCAGACTCACTGTGTAGCCCAGGCTGGCCTCCAGCTCAATTATCTCCACACTCACAGATGCTGGGATTAGAAGCAGGTACCACTATGTCTGGCTGCTGTTAGATTTCTTATAAAGAAATTCATTCAATGCTGTGAATTATGGAGAGTTAGTAAATGGACCTTAAAGGTCCTTTAAATTTAAAAAAAAAAAATGTTTTTGCTCTTTTTCTCAAAGTCCATCAAAAACATTTCTACTTTCTCATCAAATGTTGTCAGGTAGTATTAGATTGAGGGCTGAACAGTCCAATGAGCTAATGATTTGTTTTTTATATATGTATTTGTTTTGTGTGTGTGCGTGCATGCGTGTGTGTATGTGTGTGTGTGTGTGTGTGTGTGTGTGTATGTGTGTATTACATTACATTTTGGGGTTAAAATTATGCTTTTACAATCCAAATAAGAGCCTTTTTTTTTTCTTTACACAGAAGGCCAGACCATCTATCATGCAGGTAAGTGATGCTTTTAAAATGTACTTATGTATTTTCCAATGATCTCTGTAGAACTATACTACTGCTAATGGTGTATTTTATTCTAGGATGCTGTAACACTTTGTTCCTACCCCTTCATCTTTGATGCCCAAGCCAAGACCAAGATGTTACAGACTGATGCTGAGTTACAGATGCAGGTAGCATGTTTGAGAGTCATTTCTTCCTTTTACTGTTTATCCTACACATTGTTAAACTTTTTCCTATTGTCTCTATTATGATTTGTAAAACAGTTATATTTTTTTAGTAATTTTACTTTTTTAATTTTTGAGATATAATCTCACTGTATAATCCAGGGTTTAAAAGTAATTCTTTTTTTGGTTAGCATACAAAGAAGTTAATTCCCTTGTGCCATCTTCATGGATACATCAATATGCCTTGGTTTTATTCATTCTCCTCCTACCCTACACCTCCCTCTTCTCTCCCTTCTTGGTCCCCCACCCCCCAAAAGTTCCCCCTTCTTTCATGGTATTACCTTTTCTTCAATTTCTTTCCCTTTCCCTCTACCCTTACCCCCAGGCCTCTTCCTACGCTACACAGTCCCCTTTCTACTTTGATGTAAACGTTTATGTTTATGTGCAGATTCTGAATCTGAGAGGAAGCATGAGGTATTTTTCTTTATGAATCTGGCTTCTTTTGCTTACCTACTGATTTCCAGTTTCACCCATTTTCCTGCAGGTGTCATATTTTCATCTTTTTTTTTTTTTACAGATGAATAAAACTCCATATTGTGTATATGAACATAACTTTCCTTATCCATTCATCTGGAGATGAACATCTGACCTGATGTCATATTTTAGCTATTGTGAATAGAGCTAAATACATGTGAATACATGTAAACATGTATGAGTGAGTATCTCTGTGGTACACTCACTCAGAACCCTTTGAGTGTTTATCCAGAAGTGTTAAAGCTAGATCATATGGTTAGTTCTATTTTTAGTATTTTGAAGAATCTATAAACTGGTTCCCATAGTGGCTGCATCAGTCTACACTCTGACTAGCAGTGAATAGGGTCCCCCCTCCCCAACATCCTTGGGAAGTCAGCTTTAGTTGTGCTTTGATGATTGTAGCTGTTCTGTCTGGTGGGATGGGATCTCGGGCTTAATTTTCATTTCCCTGATAGCTACAGATGTTGAATATTTTTTTCAGATATTTATTGGACATTTGTATTTCTTCTTTTGACAATTGTCTATTTAATTCATTAGTCTATTTGAAGTATCTTTTTTTGGCATTTAATTTTGGAGTTCTTTAGAGACTCTAGATACTGATGAATGTATGGTTGGCATAGATTTTTCTCCTCTTTTTAAAGCTGTCCTCTTGGCTTTGATGATTGGTTCCTCTGCTGTGCATAAGCGTTTCAATTCTATGCATTTCCATCAGTGAATTCTTAGGGTTATTTATGCTATTGGAGTCTTCTTCAGAAAGTTCTTACCTGTGCCAGTATCTAAATGTTTTTAACCTGTTTTCCTCTAGTAGTTTCCTAAGTTTCAGTTCTTAACATTAAGGTCTTTGATCTATTTTGAATTGATTTTTAAATAAGATGAGAGATGCACATGTAGTTTTTTTTTCCTTCTTTTTCATGTGACTATTAAGCTTTCCAATGCCATTGTTGAAGAGGCTATCTTTTTTTCTAAAGTATGTTTTTGATAACCTTGTTAAAGGTGAGGCGGCTATAGCTGTGTGGGTTTATTTCTGTAACCTGAAATTCTTTTTTCTTCTCTTTAAAACTATATCAAATCATTCTATTACAGTGTTTTGCATATGTAAATTTTATTGCTATACAGAAAATAAAATGATTTTGGAAAAATAATTTTGATAGAGATTGTATTGACTCTATATGGCTTTTGGCAAAGTGATCATTTTCACAGTATCAATTCTGTCAATCTGTGAGCAAGAGAGATCTTTCCATCTTGACTCTATCTTATATCTTCTTTAATTTTTTTTCTAGTGTATTAAAGTTTTCATTATCAAGGTCTTTCTCCTCCTTTGTTGAGTTTATTTCTAGGCTAGTTTTGAGCTCACTGTGTGGTCCAGTTTGCCTTGAGCTCTTTTTCCTCCTGCCTCTCTCTTGTTAGGATTACAGGTGTGTCCCACCACACCAGGTTCAGGAATTCTGTGTTGAATACATATTGATCTGGATTTCAGGTGATAAATATTTTCCACTGTTTGCTGACCTGATGAAAAGAGGATTAGTCAACTTGGAACTTGACTGTCTTTACTGAATCAAAGCTTAAAATATTTGTTTTATATTTTATTTTACTGCCTGCTTTATTATAATTTTTTTTTGCAAACAAGGAATTTTAGTATGAATAAGAGGTCCAGAGGGACAAGGAGGGCACATATCATTGATTTTTTATTGACTGTATATAGAAACATTAGTGAATTAGGAGTCCAAATCTACCCAAGTCTTGCTGTTGATAGCCATATCTTCGTTCATCTCTCTGTCGCTCCATTCTGTCTGTCCATCTCTAGCTCTGTCTTCATCTCTCTCAATACCTGCTTTCATATGGGTGCTTCTATGACATTGTCAGCTTCCAGGTTTTCTACTGAAATGGTCACTGTTCACAGTGGTGGCTGATTTCCTGCTCTTTTGAGTCATGTTTTCACTCATTCTGCCATGTTTCTTCAAGCACATCACTTTTTTAGTCTTTTTCTATTCTAAATTTTATTGTATGTGTATGAGTGTGTTGCCTGCATATATACCTGTATACCCATGTTGTGCAATTTCCCACATAGGCCAAAAGAGGGCATCAGAGCCCCTGGAACTGGAGTTACAGGTGGTTCTTAGCTGCCATGTGGGTTCTAGGATTCAAACTCAGGTTCTCTTTCCTAGACCTGGTTATTGATCTTATAACTCATAAATTGTTTCAGCTAATCTTTTTGAGTCCAGATTAGAAAGATTTATGTGGTGTGCAAATAAAGTAATGAAGAAAGAGGATAAAAAGGTAAAGTGGAAGTGCCACCTCGGGTTCTGAGGCACCCCTGGTTGCTCTCTGTGTCCATGGGACTTTCTGAGTAACTGCTTGGGGCTGTGCTGTTTCAGGTTGCAGTTAATGGCGCCAACCTGCAAAATGTCTTCATGCTTCTCACCCTGGAGCCCCTGCTAGCCAGAAGCCCCTTCCTGGTCCTTCATGTCCGCAGGAATAACCTTGTTGGCGATGCCCTGAGAGAGTTGAGCATTCACTCGGACACCGACTTGAAAAAGCCTCTTAAAGTGAGTTCCTTCAGAATACTCTTCTAAGTTACTTTGTAAGCGTGTGCAGCAAAGATCTCAGACAGGCAGGGCAGCCGCTCATTTTTTTCTTTCATTCATTTACAAGAATCTAATCACCTCCTTTTGTAAGTCTCTAAACCGATCATCTCACTATAACATCAGATTGAAATGTTAGTGGTTTGCTGGTGGGACTATAGGCTGTTTGCTTTTGCCATCTGTAATGTGCCCACTCAGGCTCACCCAACAAGCAGACAAAATGGAAAGCTTCTACTTAATACAACAGCTAAGCTGTCATCTAGGAGGATTTGAATGTAAAGTTTCAAGAGAAAGAAGGTAAAATAGAAAACTGAAAAGGTGTGAAATCTTCCTCAAAGCTGTTAGCCTGTTACTCTCAACTTATATTTATTGAATAAAGATCATTTCTTCCCCATAAACCATGCATGTTTCTAAGTCTGCTTTCTGTGTTCCCAGACTTGATGAGAAATGGTACACAGTAGGTATCTTAGGAATAGTTAATTATTTGAAATTATTTTAAATTAAGTGACTTCTGTATCTGTTTCCAGTTACATTATAAATGCCAGTTTCAGAATCATAAAGGAATTGATTAATCTACCATATTGTTACCCTCTCCAAAATTTCTAATAAGAACACACAACTGTAATATCAGCTAATCCAGAGACTGGAGTAGGACAGTAGAAAGTTCAAGATCATTCTGGACAACTTAGGTAGATTTTATCTCAGAATAAAATTTAAAAGGACTGGGTGTGTAGCCCAGTGGTAGAGCACTTGCCAAGCCTGTGTGTGGCCCCTGTTCAATCACCAGTTATGAAAAAGGACAAACAAAAAAAACAAATACTCCCATCAATCTACGTGGTTGTTCTCCCTGGGACTTCTGGGTTTTATATACACACAGCCCCTGTTTCCAGTCAGTTCCTCAGATGGGGCTCCTTATAGTCCAGTGAGGCGTCTGCTGGCTACCAATTTCCCTGAAGGATTAATTTTGTTTTCATGACTTTGAGGTGATCTTCGATGGGGAAGAAGCAGTGGATGCTGGCGGTGTTACAAAAGAGTTCTTTCTTTTGCTGTTAAAAGAGCTTTTGAATCCCATTTATGGGATGTTTACCTACTATCAAGATTCGAATCTGTTATGGTTTTCAGATACAGTAAGTTAATAATGTCACAATTAAATATATTGTTTGGATTACACTTCCTTTTTACTGTAGACTGGCCCCTTGATTTTTAACATTGCAAAGATAACCATTTATAATGTCTAACATGTCCAACCTTTATGCCTGACCTGCTGCCAAGGCTCATAGTGCGTGTTGTTAGCCATGAGCCCTATTGCCATTTCTAGTACATAAAATCCAGGTTGTAATATCCAAGATGGGCAAAAGGAACAGTGTAATAAAAAAAATTAGGTATAGCTCTTCCTATTCTCCATCAGAGCAGATGATCAAGGTGAGAAAGAACCACATGCTTTCTATGGAAAGTTAAAAAGAGAGAAAAATGGGG